TCCTTCCTTCCTTCCTTCCTTCCTGTGGAGAATTCAGTTTCTACCCGTCTCCCGCCCCCACGAAGCTCTGCCTTCTCCCAGGACCTGATCTTAGCAATCAGTGGAGGCCGTCAGCCCGGGTTGGGGAGAGATTTTGCCCAGGGACGCGGTTTCCTGCTGCGGACGGTGGGCCAGGCTATCTAGGGAAGAGGAGGACACACAGACGCATGTGTAAAGGTGTGGGGGAGGGGAGTGCTGATTTTGGAGGGGGGACGCCAGAGGGGGATCACCCGACTGAGCGGGCTTCGGGTAATCCGAAGGGACGCTCCGATGGAGCCCGTGCCCTGGTGAGCCTCGGGGGCCACCGAGCTTCTGATTGACGGCGCGGGCCCGATTGCACGGCGTTCTTCGCTGGGCCCTGCCTGGTGCTGAAAGCTGAGACGGAGGGCCGAACCTTTCTCTCTCCTCCCCTCTTTCCATTCATTGCTCCCCGTCGCTGACGGGCTGTCGGCGGCCTTTTATGGGGCCGAGGGTTGCACCGCGGCCGCGACTCCCGCCGGTGGCTTTCACGAAGAAGACCGCAAGCGCCGAGGTCCTGGCAGTGGAAGGCCTACCGGCCCCAAAGCTGGCCTCGGGGTCTGCGGTGAGAGGGATGCAGCCGGACCTGCCCCGGGCCGGCGGAGACCCTCCAGCACAGCTGAAACGTGGGAACTCCTGAAAAAGCTCCTCCAAGCCAGGATGCGGCTCCAGCCACGGGTTTAGGCCAGGCTTGGGTGGCTTTCTCTCTACGACCCCAACTTCGGTGTCATTTTGTATCTGAAAGTGTCACAGTTAACTTCTCTTCTCCTTGGAAAGTCGTCTCACCCTTCCTGTTCCTAAATACCAGACTGTCCTGTAAAGCACCTCTACCTTCTTTGTACAGCTTTCTCAGGAACACGTGTGTTCACCGCCTCCGTGTGTGCTAGACGCGTGTGTTTCTGTAGCCCTTCCATACCAGGAAGACCTTCTCTGCAATAGGCCCCACTGCAGGTGAACGTGTCTCCCTTCATTTGTGGTGCAATGGGATAGCACTGAAGCCCTGCGTCCGGTGGGTCTCCGGTTGTCATTGGACGACAGCTTCTCAAGAATCCCCCCATCATTGGCCAGGCTAGCTGGGCCTTCTGGGAACTGAAGTCCTGCAACCTCTGGAGACCCAAGTTCGAGAACTGCTGCTCTGGTCGCTTTCAGAGGCCGGCATCTAGCAAAGTCCAGGGCGCCGGCAGAATCCGACCAGCTCAGGTAGAAATCCCACACCACTTCTCTAAGGCAATGAAAATTTACTAGGCTGCCCGGGATCTACTCCTGAATCCTACGGTCACCACCGGGAAGCTAGTACAGTACTTTATGGATAACTAAGGCAGAGGAGATGTGGCCCTCCAAATGTTTCCATACTACATCTCCCACTAGCCATAGCTCGCCTAGCCCACAGCCAGACAAAAATTGCGATCCAGGAACATCTGGAAGGCTAAGCCTTCTCTCCCTTTTCCTCCAGTCCTTGATTTATAGGCTTATAATTAATGGAAGCATCCAGATTCTCTCCCCCCCCCTTTGCTCCTTGGAAAGGAGGCTTCCCACATGGCCACGGAACATAAACTGCCGGCAAGGTCTCCTGAGCCAGAAAGAGTGAGATTGTGGATCGGAAGGCGATCCAGGCAAATAATCTGTAACCGGATTGTGGCCCTGGTGCGCAAGGGAGACGCGATCGAGGTTTCTGCCCCACGTAACCTGGGTCTTACCTCTCGGTTTTATTTGTGCGTGTATTTTAATGCCTTGAGGCAACAGAAAAACACTCCCTG